GCAATCTGAAGAAGCCAAACCCAACACACGTCACGTCGTCGAAACGTGTCGTTTAAAAGCTTTTCCAATTTGTCCCATCCTCTCGGCTTTTGTTTTGAATACTATTATATACGATACAAACAAACATTCATATATGTATATACATACACACACATGCACACAGAAGAACGTATTCACATATAGAATCTACATTTACATAGAAAAAAATGGGAGTGAAAGAAATAATGTACAAATTAAATTAAAATAAGAACGATAAATAAAATGTCATGTAATGACGCAGCCTTGTGGGCAAGACATAAAGAATATATTAAATGCAAGAATTTGAAATTCTCACTTTTAACGTTTTTGAAAGTCAGGAATACCAATCTTTTCTGTATCACGTTCCACCAGTAAATAGAAGAATGGAATTTTCATTCTTTTATAAGCAAGATGTAGCAAAGGGAATTCGGAACAGGATTAACTCTTTAATAAGCATCATATCATCAAAGAGGGACGCTGGACATTAATGCGTTCAAGGAAGAATGAAAAATCTATTTTCTAAAGTTTCGGCCATTGTAATCCCCAACCTTCTTCAGGTGTCTACCGATCCGTGTAACCTCCAGATTGTCTCTGTTTAATACGAGGTTTTATTTACCAAATTTGTTATATAATTAATGTCGATTTTTATTTTACTATTTATAATTAATATAAGATTTACGGTAGGTATTATTGGGATATTCTACTTCTATATATCATTAGCGACCATGGCTCTCTACAGCTTCCTGTCCTTTGTAGTTCTTAATAAATTTTTTATCTTTTTGTTACCTTTCCCAAACCCTGTTACATCATCCATTTACTCAAGCTTGTTAGGTAGGTTATGCATTGATTTCCTCTATCCTTCCGCCTTCAATTTGCCCTGTGAGTAACAAATTTTCCTAACCTTCTTTCTTCATTATACGCTCTAGAAATTTGAACTGTCTCTTTCTGATGTTAAATATAAAATAAAAATATAACTGTCCTTCTTGTTTCCATTTTCTCTAAAACTTCCTTGTTGCTCACATGTTCAGTCCATGGTATTCTCAGTATCTTTCTGTAGAACCACATTTCTGTTGCTTCAAATCTCTATTTCATCTGTAAGAAGATGTCCAGCATTCATTGCCATATAAGAGGACTGATATTATGTAACAGTTCCATATACTTTTCTTTGTTTCTAATGAAATTTTCCTATTTCTTAATACTTTGCTTAGCTTTTGGAAGGCATCTTTCATTATCCCAATGCGCCTTCGTATTTCAGTGTTTCACTTTTCCTCTTCTTTTCAGATATTTAAATTGTTGTACTTGTTTGAATTTGGTATCTCTAGTTTTTTTATTTTTCATGTTCGATGGTTCCTTTTGCTAACAAGCATGCATTCTGTCTTGCAATTGGTGTTTAGTCCTTTCTTCCCGCTTTTTTTCCATGACCCTCTGTAGGCGTACTTGAAGTTTCTCTTCTGTATTTGTTATCAACACCGTATCATCTGCATATCTTATACACGGTGTCCATAAAGTTCGTGTCCACTTTAAAAAAAATGATAACTTTATTTGTATTTGCAATAGAAATAATCTGTAAAAAATGTTATAATACAATGTTTCAACAAGATGGAGCTCTTTGTCACTTTGCTCTGCATGTTAGAGAGTTTCTAAATCAGGAATTTCCTAACAGATTGATCGGAAGGGGTGGACCATTTTATTGGCCTCCACGTTCGCCAGATTCGACTCCCTTATATTTCTTTTTATAGGGACATGTGAAAACAATTGTGTATGCAACCAAACTTAGTTCATTAGAAGATTTGAAAGCTAAAATAACTAATGTGATTTCAGGCATTACTGTAAATCAGTTGGCAAATGTTTTCCGTGAACTGCAAAATTGTATTACCCTTTGTATTGCTAATGATGGAGGACATGTGGAAACTTAAATAAAATGTTAGTAAAACCTTAAAAAATATAGATTTACTTCTTTCTAATCCTTTTTACAAATTATTTCTATCGCAAATACAAATAAAGTTATAAATGTTTTAAAGTGCACACGAACTTTATGGACACCGTGTATTGTTAGGATTGTGGTTGCCAAAAATAAATCTCTCAGAATCGTCTCACCGTGTAGTCTGAATAAGTCTGGTAAGAAGACACACCCTTGTCTTCCACCCTTTGCTATATTTGTATATTTACAAAATTCATTTTTTATCTGTATGCAGGTCAGTATAGGTACTGGATTATTCTAATATGCTTTCTACTAATTTCCTACTGTTCCTTGTGACACACAGGAATAATAAATGAAAAATACAAAACTGGTGATATACCGTAAGTAGATCCATTTTCATAGCACTGTCTAAAAAGCCAGGTGAATACGAATGAGAACTCCATCGGAAATGCAGCTTACTGGGCCACACGACAAAACTTATCATCCGAATTCTGATGAAGAGAATTAGACCGAAAATAGGACAAGAACACTGAGGATTCTTTAAAGACAATGGAACAAGAAATGCAATATTTATATCCAGAATGATATCAGAAAGAACAATTAATTAAATTATTTACAGTCGGTCTAATGCTCTCATCATTATTGTTATTACCATAACGTTCCCGCCGTGGCACACTTCGGCCTTCTTCAAGTATCTGTTGATCCGGATAAAATTCGTGGAATTTCCAACTCAACACATCATTTAATTCACGAAGTGTTATTGTCACAACGTTTCGGCCATTGTAATTTCCGGCCTTCTTCAGGTGTCTACCGATCCGTGTAACCTCCAGATTGTCTCTGTTTCGCTGTTCATGTCTAGGGATATCTCATCTTGTTCTTTCTAGTCAGTTATTGCTAGCCCTTTACATTGAATTTGTCTCTGTACTAGCCGCACCAGGGATTGAACGCATAATCGATATGCCATCAAATTTATATATCAGTCCGAATGACGTCACACATTATGATATGAATGTGTGAGAGAAAATCATGGAGAATTGTAGTTTAAAAAACAGTAAAAGCGACTTTGTTAACCGAAACGCTCCTTTGTGGCTCAATCGGTAAAGGCACGTTAGGCTATATGACGGTTCCGTATAGGATACAGGTTCGATTCCTGTCGGAGGACTAATATTTTCTATGAAAATTTCTCGGACATTCAGGCTGGTAAATGTTGTTAATACTGTTTATTATAAACAGAATATTTACTTAAATATTTGTATCTATAAAAATAACGTATAAACATAAAAAATGTCTTAAAATCAGTCCGAAAGTAAATAATGATAACACATCCCAGAAGATCAGATAGAAATAAAGACGATTGTGTTGCGTCAGTCTATTAATTGAAGATGACATGCCTGTTTTTAAAAACAGCATTCATAATCCTAGCTTTGGCGGTTAAAAAAGTTAAAAGTGAACTTTACAAAGCTTTAGTCTTGCGTGGGATGCCCGGTAGGAATCGAAACTGGTTACCAGATCAATTTGCTAACTATCGCTTCACTGGATGCTTGAGTGATCTCTTTTAAACCTTATGTTTCCTCAAATCAATCACAATCTATCGACCATATTATCGATGATAATCTATCAGGTGGCGTTCATTGTTCGGTTTATTGATTAACGTACGGCGATATTTACAAAGCCTAGATAAGTACATTCAAAAGCTTAGAGGAAATGGGCCTGAAAAGATTTTTATTTACATTCTAACTAACATCCTCATCTTTGATGATATTATCACAACGTTTCGGCCACTGTAATCTCCGACCGTCTTCAGGTGTCTACCGATCCGTCTAATAGAATTAAAAACTGAGCCTATTATTTCATCTATTGTGATAGATTTTTTTCGTTTCCCTGTCATTAGGTCGGGATAACTCGTTTTGTTCTTTTCGCTATAGCCTAGTTATTGCTCACCTTGTTTCTACTGAGTTCAGTTTGTTGGACTCACAGGAAACACGACTAAAAATAACCGAAGAGCAATAAGAAAAAACAAATCGAATTTTCCTAGGCATTGACTGCGGAACGAGAACAATATATCTCCGTAGATTAAATAAAGGATTCTGTTCGAAATTCCATTACGTTCACACAGATCGAGAGAAACCTGAAGAAGGTTTTAAAGCACACCGAATAAAACTTTGTGAGAGTATCAACAAAGATGAAGAAATTAATCCAGATGTAATATCAGTTATAATACATCCTCATCTCAATTTCTGCCAGAAATTAATATAAAAAATTTCCTTTATTTCATTGAGGTATGGATACGGCTTTCACTCAACATGTCTTCCCGTTTTTCTCTTTTCATTATCAGTAACTAATTGCATCTTAACGCATTTTGTGAGCTGATTAAAATAAGATCGACACATTCTGTCATAGAATAATTAACATCTAACTAACCTCTTGCGAAAATACGATGCTTTGTTCACACTATAGAGGCGCTTTTTTAATGTCCTTCTTCGGATCGGTACCCAAAGACTTTTATTCGAACCTAAGACGCTTAAGTAAACATTATTACTTGATCAAATTTTAAAAGATCTGTCGATACTTTAACACCAAAAGCAAAAGGTAAATATTGATAAGATTAACGTTTATTGCAGCAATCGACAGTTACTTTGTAATTGAATCTATTTAGGTTTTTGTGACTTGTGTCAATGTTCTTCCGTGTAGCGTTACATCTTTTTCCCAGGCCTATTTCCACAGACACTCTTTAAACAAACAAATGAATGAATAAATAAATATAGAATCAAACTAGCGCATAACGTCGGCCATGTTTCAAAGATGTCCGGCGTTGATTCATTAAATAACTTCCTCACAGATTTTATCGATTTTATCGTCTGCAGTTTCGGCGGAAAAATAATGGCGAGTGCAGAAATGACTTCATTATAACAACGTAATGAATGGCTTTTTTTCTTTCATCCGATTTTCGAAATATATTCTAGAGTATAAATGAAACATTTCACATTGAAAGTGTCAGTTGAAATTAATAGGAAAGAAAGAAAATGGATGTACACGGGCAGCTCTATATTTCTCTGTCCTTTCAAAAAGGAAATTCGAGAAGGAGAAGAAGAAAGATAGACACAGATAAACAGCGGTTGGAAAAGGACACTTTCAAAGAAACACCGTGTCGTTTAAATGTTATGAATCTGTACTATAGATGGTGGAAAATATGACAGCATTATTAGCCTTCTTTCATTGTGCTAAGTCTTTATCGTCTGCCATTCAAACATCAATGTTATCGAAAGAATCAGGTATGGATTATACAAGATTTTTCATCTCTCGGTGAGTAGATATTAATTTAACTGTTTATAATCATTTCAAGAAAGCATTTTATCAGGAATGGCATGATGGCCTTTAGCATGTCGTCATAGGATTCAACATAGAAGAAGAGCTTATATGACTATGTCACTAGTATAGTTCTCTTTGAATAACCAAGTGGAAGATTTCTTCTCGATGACTCTCGTCGTTAGACAGGGATGTCAACTCTCCAACAGCCTTCAGTTTGTTTTTGAAGATAATTATGCAGGAAACTCTCCATGACCACAATACTTTTATCTCTATCGGTGGTAGACATGTCTACCATCATTTATTACGACTCTATCCAATATACTGACTTTATGGCGGGCAATAACAGTAAGTTGTAAGACCTGACCAACAAACTCATTGAAAAAAAAAACAGCCGCAAATTAATGGTTGCACAAGCACCTCCAATCGGTTGTGAACTGGACCAGGAATTGGCTGGTTAACGTTAAGGCCTCAAAACAAAACTGCTCTCTATTACTCACCCCAGAGAACCATCCCTGCCCCCCCCCCCATTAGAATGTCTGACGCTCGACTTCTCGAGAGCTCCTCTTTTGCGACTACTCGGTCTCACATTGACTGCTGACCTGAGATGGAACAAATACATTGAGTCAATAGCTTCGTACACCTCAAGGAAAGTTGGCTCCTGTGCCACGCCAGGAATTTTTTCTCGCCGGAGTCGATCCTTCAAATCTACAAATCAACCATTCTCCTTGCATGGAGTATTGCTGCCATATATGATCTGGAGCCCATTCTGCTTGTCTCAAGTTTCTTGATAAAAATCCAGAGACGGATATGCAATGTAATTGGCCCTGATCTGGCATCTCATCTGCAGTCGCTCTCGACAGACGTGCCATCGCCTCTCTCTGTCTTTTTAACAAATACTTTCATGGTAATTGCTCCGAGGAGCTGCGTTCGCTGGTTCCCTGACTTTATGAATTTAAGCGTTCTACTAGGCTGGCATCTCGCTCTCACCCTTTCACTGTCGAAACTGTTAAATGTAGCCGTCTCTTCTACTCCAATAGCTTCATGTCTCGCACCTCTTGACTGTGGAACTCCCTTCCCTTTTCCTGTTTCCCTGATAGCTATAATCTCCAACTATTCAAATGTAATGTAAATCGACATCTCCAGATACTCTGATCTGTCCCCTATCCTTCTCTTCATCCTTTCCTCTATCACTCTTATTTGCTCTCGCTCCAACTCTCTGTAACCCTTTGCGTGCTAGTGGCTTCCCGCCTTGCTTGGGGCGAAACACTTAAAAAAAGCAAAAAAAAAAAAAAAAAAAAAAAGCAACACCAGTGCCAGTCTAATCATAGACGTCAAACCAATGGAGGAAGTGTCAAGCTTCAAATACTTGGGAGCAACTCTGTCTAAAATGGCACCTGCAATGCATAAATCCGCACACGGATCATCACAGCTCCAGCAGAGACGGCCAGACTGGATAAAGATATGGAAGAAAAACAACAGCTTTCAGACCAAGTTCAATCTTTACAAATCGCTGGTTATATCAAACCTACACCTCAACGGGTGTGAGACTTGAAGACTTCTGATTGAGGCAAGCAAAAGGGTCCAGGCAGTCGAAAACGGATGATTGAGAAATCTACTCCGCATCGCCTACCGGGAACAGAAAACAAATGACTAGATACAAAGCAAGGTGAAGAATCTAGTGGACCGACAGTAATCTCTTCTCGCCACTATTAAGCGTCGGAAGATGTCATGGTTTGGCGACGTCACAAGGCATAAGAACCTCTGCAAAGCCATCATGTAAGGCACTGTTGAAGGCAAAAGAAAGCTGGAGACGGAAATCCAAAAGCTAGTCAGTCATCATTAAAGAGTGGAGAGACATAACAATGCCGAAACTCCTGAGAGCCACCGGCAATAGATCAGCTTAGAGGAGGTTGTCTGTTTCTTTTATTCCCCACCGACGATTGAAGCAGTTGATGTTTACTCAAACACACATATCCATTAAATATGGCGTTTAGAGTAAGAAAGATGTTGCATTAAAAAAAAACACTCATTCATTGCTTTAAATTCTTTTTGTTTATGTTTTGGGCACGAAAATAAAATGAGAGGATGTAGACTTGGAAATGTCCCAACGAGAGATACTCTTTTAAATCGGATAATTGAGAATAACCTTAGTGTATTGTCTTTTCATAGCCGAATAGTGTAGCACTTGACTGGCATGAAGCTGGTTTCTCAAAATGTAAAGAGGTTCGAGTCATGTTGGGAGGCACCTATTTTGAAGTATGACTTTCGATCTCTTGTCTAGTTAGATAAGAATTTCAATGTTTACAAAATTATTAAGATATCTGCTGAAAACATGAATTACGACAACATAAGCCGTTTATAGTCGTAACAAATAGTGTCGGATTAAAAAAAAAACTCTTGCTGAAAAGCGTTAATTTGAAAAGTAAAAGGATTTTAACGAATTAGGCATCGATAAGGGATTTGAAAATAATGGCCTCTTTCATTATCGATTGTTCTTCTGACAGAAATTGGCACGACTGAAACTGACTGGTTCGTTCGTAAAAAATAGTGGAGAATTTTTTTAAAACAATTTTTTTCTATATTTAATCCACTCTTAAGAATGGGACATTTTGTTTGGCGAGGGGGGAATGTATAATTTTGTACGTGATTAATATTCCATTGATCTTCCTTAAACAGCATTTGTCAGAATCGATGAATATTGATTTTTTAATCATTGTAGAAGGAACTGCTCTTCATATTATAAATACAGTGTGAAATAGATCTCTGACTTCTTAAAGAGTTATCTGTACTTTATTTCTATTTACAAGCGTCAAATTTGAAACTGCCTAAGTCATTGATAACTGCGTATTATTGAGATATTTTCCCCAATTCTAAATCCCAAGCAGTTTTGAATGACGTAAGCACAGTTTAAAACTTAACATTTTTAAATAAAAACAAAGTACATATAACTCATTAAGAAGCCAGGGATCAATGGGTTCGGCACTTCAAGGAACTAACCATGTTTCTAGCATTCTTTAACGATGAATGGTATATACGAGTTCTACTTGAGGTCTGGAATGAGATTGAATCCCAATAGACATTCTACACTACTTTTGAAAAGGCACGGCTCCAATCTCCCTTGCAATTTTCCAATTTCTTTATCCTGATATTATCTCAAGTAGAGGAGATGATATTCAATTGTCTTTTATTAGAATTCAACCCATACCAACACTTCGACTCCCCCCCCCCAAAAAAAAAACCTTCAGCAGAAAACGTTTGTAATTCAGTTGTGGGGGCAAGGAATGACTCCTTTCTGATGTTGGTGCCAGAGAACCTTCCTCAAATCACAACCTTATACTCGATACCAATTCAATAAAAACACGCAATATTTTATTCTTTATAGATCTTCATAGTCAGTGTGTTTTGTTGGATACCAGCTAGCATTGATCGAAATTTTACGATTATTATCCGAAATGGGATATTTTTTCTTTTCAGAAAGTATTGTTTGTTTATATTCAAAGTCTGCATTGAATTCATCTCTGGATGAAATCAGTGGAGTTTTTATTGTCACTCTTCAGAAAAAGACTGACGTTTGAGAATTTGATTGGCAGGCTGAGGTTATATGTGTCTCAAATCTTTTATTGTTTGCCCAAAAGATTTGTAGCGAGATTTTATTGCGCTGCATTCATAAATCGGGTTTTTTAGATAGAAAGAAATAAAAACAGTCATGTTTGTAGCTTTTTTTGTTTATAGTTTTAGGTCCGTTTATTTTAATATACATACATACATACATATATATATATATATATATATATATATATATGTATTAAAAAAATACAATTAATCCCCCGTTTATTTTAAATATAAAATATAAATCATGTCTATTATAAATACAATATATATACATATAAATGCGAATGTCAGTGTGTCCGTGCGTCACACTTTTTTCAATCTTTACTCTTAGAGGCCGTAGACCAACATATCATACCATTTTGGAATCAGGCCATATATATTATATAGATTGCGCCAATATGGCGTTAACCAGATATTCCTATTAAAATTTAAATTACGTTCAGTCTCTACTCAGCACCTGCCGATTGCGTTGTGCATGAAACTCCGAGTTGTGCTACCGGTGAAGAAGAAACATGTCCGTGTGTGTCTCTCTCTCTCTCTCTCTCTCTCTCTATATATATATATATATATATATATATATATATATATATTTAGGGGAGGGCTTCAGTGCTCCAGTTCTTTGTATTCGATTCTTTCTAAAAGTGTGACAACCACAAGACTTTAATGGCATCATATGTGCTACTAGTTTTGGTTTTTCAGTTCTTGCAGCGGAATTGTTGGTCCCTCATAAGTTGAAGTTTCTAACGTGATTTTCTCATCTCATAATACTTTGCTTAGCTTCTGGGAGCCATCTTTTGCTATTTCAATGCGCCTTCAAATCTCTGTCACGATTCCTGTCGTTTGTTACGACTCTACTCAATTGGTTAAACTTCCGTATCTTCAATTCGTATCTCACTGCTGACCAAATAATCTGTCTTTTTATAAATAGTTCGTCCTTTCTTCCTGCTTTCCTCTACGATTTTGTCCAGCAGGTTTCACAGTTTACTTTCTGAATCTGCTATCAGCACTATCATCTGCGTAGTTTGTGTTAAGATTATATTCTCCAATTATAAATCCTACTGGGTCTTCTACTTGATTTAAGTTTACCTGTATAGGATGAATAAATATGAAGCCTTAAAGCTTTGATAATTCTGAGTTTGTTTTAAGTTGATTTGAAAAACAGAATACGTTATCATATATACAGCTGGAACTGGTGTTTGAAAGACTCCGGTCATTTGTTTCGCCATGGATCATACGGTTGAAATATTCTCTCGCGGCTGTCTTCAGGACAATACACCAAAGTTGCACTATCTCTATTTCTTACTGAAAGTCAAATCAACCGTCTTTTCACCTGAAGAAAGCTTTTCTTGTAGTAATGAATAGCACAATACATATGGTTAGTACCAGTAAGGAAATTTTACCGGCTACTTGTCAGTGACGGAGAGGGTGTAATGAGTGAGATACGCCTCTGTCCTAGCCTATTGCAGTTCCGTGTGTTTGCTACCTACAGAAATATTCTTACTGAAGAACTTTGCAGGAAGAAACTTCTATTTTACTAGAATATTTTGCATTCTCGCAAATTGCTCATTAGTAAATTCACGGGCAAGTGAAAAAATATCACTACATTCTACTTCTTTTCTTTCCTTTTTTCTTGCATGAATTATGACCGTCAAGTGACCATGTCAGATATATTGTATTTCAGTAATATGTTTCCAATAATCTATTTAATAGTTAGGAGATCTTTTTTTAGGCTTAATTCTTAACTTTCAATTCTTCTCCTTCATTTTGCACACAACAATAAATGATATGAAGAGAATATGAAGAGAATATGAAGAGAATATGGAACCGTAAAGTTAGAACAGACCTTCCAAAATTGTAGGATGTTTTCTATTTTTTCTTCTTCCTTGAGTGAAGAATTCAGTTTTTGTTTTCTGGGTTTGTTTCTGCGGTGAAATAAAACGAAATTCGACTGGAAAATTATGCAGGCAAACAAAACTACTTAGACATTCTTCAGTTTATTAAACACAGCAAAAAATATATTGACGTTTTATGAGAAATCAAGATATTTTTTTTTATTTCTCTCCCTCCTCATTTTTCTTTTCTGCTTTCTTTTTTCTTTCCTACATTTCCGGAAGAGCGTCGACATTTTAAAACAAATCTTTACTTGTTAAAATATCTTCGCAACTGACAATGGCGGTTGATATCGTGACGTGACATCTAAGAAACTCGGTGTAGTTTGTGAATTTTCAGAAATTGCTGGAAACCAAACGACAATCTTCAAAGCTTAGAATCCATCTTTTTTTTCCATATATATCTTTCATTTTAAGCTTGCTTACCTGAGAGCAATGACATCTTTTTTCAATGAAAACTAACAAAGAACCTGACAACCTACCTCTTTGCCACCAAAACACGAAGAAACTGGAATTGAAAAGTAAAAAAATAAATCGGATATCCATGTTGAAAATTAAATGCATGAAAATTCATTTTCTTTTCATTCGTACGTCTTTAATGTCAACCGACCAGAAATTGCGTCAACAGTTTACTAAATCGTTTTACAGGTGAAGTTAGTGAAGCGGTTATTTAGAAATTGATCAGTTTATCCTTCCAGGTTTTTCTGAGATTAGCAAAAATTGAAGATTAGATTTTATTTATAGATTTCTCTGGAAAATTTTCAGTATTAAAAAACATTTTATTAGAATTTGAAAATTAACAAGATTTTTTTTTTCGATAGGAAATAACTGAACGCAAATTTTCAAAACTAAATATATATTGGTCTAATTTATTGGATTACTAGCTTAGAACACACTAAAAATTCCTGAACCATTTATGTATGGATCAGCACCCATGGTTACAATATCAGTGTGCACTACCATGGGTCAAAATGTCAATCTCAAGCCTAGGATCAGCGTAGTATCTGTGCTACATTCTCTTTCATGTTCCTGTACAAGACGCAGCTTCACTGCCTGACATTGTGCGAAGGTTGATCCTGAAGATTCCATTTCTGCGATAGCTCCCACACAGCATTGCACTAAAATGGGGTGGGGGTCGAACTCTGACGCCTGTTCGAAATGGATTGCGAGAAACTGGCTTAAATATACGAGTATTGGCACCCGACGTGAAATAAAAACAGGCGACATATCTTTCCACCTTGTTGCGTAATGTTTGTTAAAAGCGTTACAGAAACACACAAACACACAGACACGCAAACACGCACGCAGAAAAACAGAGAATGCGAGAGAGGGAGAAAGAGAGAGGGAGAAAGAGAGAAGGAGAAAGAGAAAAGGAGAAAGAGAGAGGGAGAAAGAGAGAGGGAGAAAGAGAGAGGGAGAAAGAGAGAAGGAGAAAGAGTCAAAAAGAAGGAGAGGGAGACAGTGCAAGTGAGAAAAAGATAAAAAACGAGAGAAGCAGAAAAAGGTAGAGAGCTGGATAGAGAAAGAGAGAGAGAGAAAGAGAGATGGAAAGAAAGAGAGAAAGCGCGAAAGGGAGAAAAAGAGAGAGAGAGAGAGAGAAAAGTGTGAGTGAGAGAGAGAGAGAGAGAGAGAGAAAGCCAAAGGTTGAGAAAAGGGTGGGGAACGAGTGAGATAGTTGAAAAGAGAGAAAGAGATAGAGCGAGAGAGGGAGAGAGAGGGTAATAGGGGAAGGGTGTGAGAAAGAGCGGCAATGAGAGGGTGAGAAATTGAGAGAGAGAGATAGTGAAAAAAAGAGAGAAGGAGAAAGAAAAAGAATAAACCAGATTTATTACCAAAATTGCAAAGGCTCCATACACACACATGAATATCATTCAATCAAAATTGTTAAAATATTCAATACCTGTTTACATTTCTATTATACATCAATCATGGGAATTTCAATTCATAATATTTGTATCTATTATCAATATTCGTAATAACTTATAATAACTATGATTTGGGCACCTCGAAGCGGTGTAATGGTTAAACGGAGCTTGCCCAATGCTTTCGGCCTTGTGCCATATCTAAGCTACGCTTGAAAATCACTGGACACCTCGACGCGGTGTAATGGTTAGTGTTTGTCTCGCTAGAACAATTACGACTAAGTATTGAGTTCGATCCTCACTGGGTGCCCCATACTTGCGGCTCTGTTCCACATCTAAGCTACGATTGGAAAATCACTGCGCACCTCGAGGTGGTGTAATCCCTAGCAGGCTTGTCTCGCTAGATCACCTACGACTAAGTAGTGAGTTCAATCCTCACTGGGTGCCCCATACTTTCAGTCCTGTGCCACATACAAACTACGCTTGGGAAATCACTATAAAAAAACATGATGAGGTCAATAATTCAAATACAAATGATGTAAATATGAAAAATATTTTGAATGCTACATTTCAAATTCAAATATACGACATCATAAAAGTGTTTTCCAATAACTTGTAACTTGGACCAGTGTAAAATGGGAATTAATTTTAAGCGTCTAATGACTTTTTTTTTTTGTTCTTTCAGATTTGGCAAACATTTAGGAGATATTATTTTTCACACATAATTGATGACTTTAATAACATGATTCAATAAAGATTTAAATAAATATTCACCAATAACACTGATTTATTTACTGCTGACTTTGATCCGTCTTAATGAAACAGCCTTTATAAATGATGTCATGTGTAAAACGGTTTCACACAGCTCGACAGCATTGGAAAATTAACATCAAATAACTCATACATATTAATATTACTTTACATACATATTGAATATTTTATAAATATTTTACAATCTTCTGTGTTGAAATATATTTTATTTTATTCAGATTGTTGTTATTTTTTGTGTAATGATACGTCCGTGTATTTAAATGTAGCAGATGCGTTAACATGGATATGGCTACGAAGAGGACATCTGAAGAGCGAAATTGAATCCCTCTTACGAATGGTACAAAATACTAACATAAAAATCTGTTGTATTAAGATGAAGATGAAACACGCAATATTTTTGACAATTTGATAAAGCAGTTAGTACAGAGAGGATACAAAAATAAACATGGCTGGGTGAAGGAAAGGTGGTCGCTTGGAAACTGTGCAATTAGTAAGATTTGGACAGGGTAATCGATAGTATATGTATGAAGCAGAATGTCGTTGAGAATAAAATCCTTAAAATTAATTTAAACTTTAATATTCAAATATTAACCATTTCAGACCAGATAAGCAGATCTAGTCATCATAAACAGAGAAAAGAGCTTTCCAGATAGTGAGACAGATTTTTCAGTCATGATCTGGAAACCAGATCAGAAAACCAGATCTAGTCATCGTAAACAAAGAAGGAAAAACCTGTTAAATTATGAGTGTCACTGCTCCATCAGAGCTCGAAATAAAATTGAAAAAACTGTACAAAGCGGTTGTAAGAAAAGGAAATCCGTGCCAGAATGAAGACCACCCAGGCAGCAGCATTACTAAATTCCCAGGAGGGTGCTTAATATAGTGAGAAGTCTTGTTGTCACTTGATCTCTAAAGAGAATCACTTGATACTACCGGTGTAAAATTTTAATGAATACAAATGAACGCGTCAAGCTAAGAGTTGGTTTTAGAACGCATCTTCATCTGAAATTGTAAGAAATGGTTTTACACACACACACATCGCCACAGGCAGAAGCCTGCGCATGAGCGTGTACGTGAGTAATTATGCATGGTTCTGCACATGCGCAGTTTTGCTTGACTATCAATCCGTTCACCTGTGCCTTCATGCTACGTCTATAAATAGACATCTACATCTGCCTGACTACCTATGTTTATTTCAGGGGATATAGATACTATTTTGAGATTGCTGGAAAGATACTAGATTTTCCCACTCTTTAGGTCAACTCAATTGCTTATCTTTTTTAATCTGGCCTGTTTCTTCACTTAGTTCTTTGGGAATAATATTACTTCAGAATAAAATAATATTAATAATAATAAAAACGCAATATTTTCCCATGGTAATTTTTTTCTCTTTTCATCTACACGAAGATAATTCCTGGGTCTTTCTAGTTTCAGGATCATAGAAAAGTAGTTCCTGATAACTCTAGTACATATCTTCAAAGGTAAAGAATTCTGTCAGAGACTGTATAAAGAACTTTCTAAGTACATTCTCACTTCTACTCTCTCTTAAAAATGATCAACTGGTTACCTTTCTTACAATTTAGGACGCAACCTCGTATTAAACAAAAAATTCGCACAACTTGACGTTTAATATTTTTATTTCTTCTTTTTATTTCATGTGCTGTGACCCCTCAGGATGTGTGCAACCATGGCTCTCCACATCGTCCCATCCTTTGAAGCTCTAAGCTCTATTTGTTCACTATCCTTTCAATTCCACGTACTGTCATCCAGTTCTTTACATTTTTCCTCTGATATGTCCTGTGAGTGTTGTATACTCCCATCTCCCTCTAGAGAGGTCTTGGTTGACGAGGTTGTCTCCACAATAAAGATATTTTCTCTCTCGGCCGGTCTTGAAATATTTTTTGGCAGCAAAATGTTGTTGGGGTCCTTAAATGAAAAGATATCAACAAAAGGGAGTTTAAACTCATCTATTTTATTAAACTCGTCGACATGTACATTTTAGCATAATTAGCGACTGAGAAGCAGTTTCCAGACACGATTTTAACACGTCTGCATTATTAGACGTGTAAAACTTAACTCCTTGAAATCCCCTTCTATTTCTCTAACATTCCCACGCTAGTTTTAGCCAATCAAAAACGACTTCCTTTGTTTTCCTGTATCTGACCTCAAAGGTCAAAATGGAGAAGTCAGAGGAGTAATACAATCCTCTAAAAAATAATTGTCTGCTATTATGTAACATGAGTTTCAAAATTTCCAAGCCCTCTTTTCTCATTTTAAGGTTAAAAAATTTGAACTGCAAATTTCTGAATCTACGTAAAATTCTCCTTGTTTCGATTTTCTTTAAAACTTCCTCGTTTGCTCACAAGTTTCGTCCATGGTATTCTCAGCATCCTTCAGTAGAACTACATTTCTGTTGCTCCAAATCTCTATTTCATCTGTGAAGAAATTGTCCAACATTCGCCGCCATATAGAAGGATGGATATTTCATAGCAGTTCAACACTATTTTCTTTGTTTCTAATGAAATTTTCCTGTTTCTTAATACTTTGCTTAGCATTTAGAAAGCATCTTTCGTTATTCTAATGCGCCTTCGGATTTCGGTGCCACTTTTTCTGTCGTCTACTATAACACTAACAATTTCTGTACGTGTCAAATTCTGACATCTCCAATTTATAGCTCATCTCTTTCTATGTCTGCCATCAATAGTTTCATCTGATTTTCTTATGGCGTTAAGATTGTGTCCTCCAATATTAAATCCCGGTAGGACTTCTAATTCTCTCTGGATCACTCCGCGATATAATTGTATTCACTGAGTTTTCGTACCTAGTAATAAGTGACAGCAATACTCAATAAGGCTAAACATCTCTTAGGACTCAGACTCACTATAGACATCAAAGGGAATTGGTATATAGGATCCACTGTTAAAGACACTGATAAATGACCGCTTTCTTTTACCATTCCAGAAAGTACCGGACTCCTTCTGACATGTTATATTAACTTTTTTTGCCTTTTTTGTCAATAATGACGGTCGGCAGAGGAAAATAAATTATTTTAAAACGTAGCGCCTCTTATGGCTAAAACAACCAATGAACGATCGGCACTGTTTTTGAGAACGGCCATAGAAGTAGAATACTGTAGAGTCATCCACCGTGTAGCATTTGTGTCTTTTTCTAGCCTCGATATCGTGCTGGATTTTATTCTCTTCATAGCTCTTTGCTCTTACCAAAATAGCACTTCTCCATTCCACTCGATCCCAGGCAACCGCATTCCAATTCGGAACATTGATAGACAATTCCATCATGGACGTTTTCCACTGGTCCTTGAAGCGAAGCTTGGGTCGTCCAACGTTACGTGTATCCTCAGACAGTTCCCTATGTATTATCTGTTTGGAAATTCTGGATTTATCCATGCGCGCAACGTGCAAGATGGGGATATAGTGACTGAATTCCAACCTCTTTTGATCATTTCTGTATTTCAGACCCTATCTTGACATTTCATTTTAAAAATATTTCGGGAACATCTCAGTATTTAACCTCCTCTCCTGACTGACATACAAGGATCACGTGTCACTCCCGGAAAGGGGTGTTGAGAGTGCGCATGTTTGGTAAATTAGTTTTGGTTTTTATCCTAAGCTTATCACTTTCTCTTGCTTCTTTTTCTTGAATGCAGCTGTGGCCTTTCCTATTCTGCTTGTCAAGCTATCATTAAAGAGATGCCCAATTTGCAGCTTTCAGCCTTGACAGGGTTCAGAAGCGTTTATACGGTCTTGTGAGTGATGAATTATTTTCCACCCTACAACCCCTTTTCGCACAGCCGAAAAATTGCTAAACACTCGATACTCTATTGCTAGACGGCTACATTCCTTAGTTCCACCGATCCTGATCTTCACAGGTAAGACCCACCAGGTCACGAAAACAGGCCTAACTCATCCTCGTTGCCCTTCATATTCCATTGGTAAGGAGGAAATTCCACTCGAACAGCTACTTCCCTAGAACTATTACTTGTGGAAAAAACTCCTAAGAGGATGCTTCATCGATCACTATAATTTTAATCTCTTCAAGTTTTTATCTCAACCATTATCTATTCTACATATCCTCACAATATTCACTTTTAATTTCCTTTTTTACACACTTACAACTTCTTTCAGTAACGATCTAGATTGAGTGCTTCTTGAGCCTTGAAGGAACAATATCATAAGAAATAAAAAAATAACGCACACATTTCCTTAGTAATATTTTCA